TTTGGAGCTCTGCTTTATTCGAAAATCGACAATTTTGTTTTTTCCCAATTACCTCGGAAAATGCTCATGATATCTTTGATTTCTCCATATAATCCTTATGACCCCTGAAATGTACAACGTTGGTTCTGATTAACAAACTTTCTAGCTCTAACCGTTTCTGAGATAGCAATAGTGAAACAATAAAATGTGGGCCACCCTGTGGGTATATGGTGACGTCATAAAGCAAGGTTGTCAAGTCACCAATTATAAGCCGTATGGTTGAATTAAAACTACATCCAAATTAAATATTTCATTTGATCTAATATAGGAGGAAGCGATGATATTGAAGTTATTAATGTGTGACTTCTTTGAGCAACCAGCTTCTCAAAATATTTCTTATACTCCATATTCCATAACAAAACATCATGTAAATGTTGGCTGGCAATGCTGTGCTGAATGCTAAGAACTGACTAGACATTGGCCATAATCCTGTGTTTTCACGATTGTTTTGGATTGAAGTGTAATCTCTTCTCAACACGATGGTTTTTTATTCATATCAATATATCTTATTTTCAAAAGAAGATACAAGTGTTCAAAGAGAGTAAGGAATTTTTAAATTTTAATTAACAATAATTCAGAACTCAGAGATGAACTCCAGATGCGTATCATTTGTCTTCGTCCGCCCATGCCTTGCCCTTCAAGAAGGATTTGAGGAAATCCATCAGGCTGTTTGGATCTTTGATCAACAACCACGGCGGTTGAATGCTTGTAATTCGAGGTCGTATATTGACTACATTTGAGTCTATTAGAGGTCTGCTTTTTGTTATTTGTTATCAAGGTATTGCCGGTGAGTACTGAAAACGAGGCGGAAATAAATTTTTAGAAGTTTTTTGACTTGTTTATCGAAAAGTTTATGAAGGTTCTGTATTATTGTTAATAAGATTTGCATCTTCTCTTAAAAAGAAGATATTGACGTAAACCATTTGTGTTTAGAAGGCATCACACTTCAATACAAAACGTAATGAAGCTGAGTTCAAACACTCACCTTTGCAATAGGGCGTTAAGAAATTAAGAGTTATAGTTATTTCTTGTATAATGATCAAGCCATAATTATCTACAATTTGGTCGAAGTTTCACCAAAATATAAAGTGCGATCAATTTGGCTAAATTTTCTTCTGACTGTAGAATCATTGATTCACCTATTATCACCTGTTATAATCGATAACACCTAATAAAACTGACATTCATCTCTTTGTGATATCCATCTTCGGAAATAATTTTATAATATCCGGAGACAATTCACCTAATCATCTAAATGAAATGGCCTATGGATGCTCGTATGTGTGTTAAATCTGAATTTCAACATTATTTCAATCTCTTGTTTTCCTATAGATGCAGAAAATCTATTCGACGAGAACTACGATAGTGATTCTGGTGATCAGGAACTATCGGAAACAATAACAATTATTGGTGAACAGAAAACAGATACCAATGAACTGAATTCTGAAAAAGAAAAATTCAAACTCAAGGTGAACAAACTTATTGATAGTATAGAGTCACCTGAAGAATTGAATACTTTTGAAAAATTATTTGAAACTGTACAGCCAACATTACTTGCGATAAAGAGAGAGAAACACAAAATGGAATGATGACGTGGAGAATATTTTGCAATGAATCGTATGTACCTACCAAAAACAGTTAATATCAATAAATATGATTCTAATTGGTAATTTCTTTGTGTTTGTGGTGAATTGAAAAAATGTGTATCCTAATAGACTGTTGGCCCGCGACACAGGGTTTATCGATGTTCTAAGTCGGTATGCCATTTAAGGGACCCACTCACTTGGTCCAAGTTAACAGGAAGGAGTGTCGCAACCCAGTCCTTGCCCCGGCCCTGACCTCACCTTTCGGTTGGAAAAAAGTTCAACATTTTGTTTAAGAAGAAGCTCGGCAATGAAGTGCAATGATCTTATCTCACGACAATTGGGGCTCTTGCCGGTTTGCATACGCCTAGGTCACTCCCCAAGGGCGGCATTCGAACCGGAAGTGGCAATTTTTCAGTGTTATAGTCGATGATCTAAGAATGTATGCCCTTTGGCGAATCAATGAATTCGGACCCATTAATCAGTTTCCCGACATTTGCATACGATTCCGGAGAGGGGAGCTCGACTTATTTGAACATCAATTGACTAGAAATTTTTCAAATAATCGATGATTTAAGTTCGTATGCACATCTCTGGACCGATAAACTAGGATATTCTGTATAACTGGATGCTATTTGCATACGAATTTAATGTGAGCATACGTTGTAATAATCGGGCAAACCCGCGCGTGCATCGGTCCGGCGCGGCGCCCCGCACTGCAGGCCAGAGGTGCACCGAAAGCGAACTAGATAATCTGGAAGTCTAATAATCTCACTTCACATGAAACCGGGTCAAAGATTAACTTCCTAGGAGTGATGGGGGTATTCGAAGACGCAAATTTATATTTATTCATCAGCAATTTACAGCTAAACAAAATTACATGTGTGAGGGGTTTAGTACCAAGAATTTCTTTCGTGTGATTTTAATTTGAAAAACAGGGCTTTGAAAAGATGATGAAAAAATTGACGACAAAATTATACTCGCAGGATGATCAAGAGGGATCGTACAGGGAGAAGAGGGGTGGATTATTGCTCATGATCAAAGTTGAACATGTACATAGATTTTTTTGTCTACCCTGTATAGCTTTTCCTGATGGCAAAATTTATTCTGCTATGTGACTGAAACAGTAGAAAAATTTCAAAATGTTACATACTGTGGTTATCCAGTGATATATGTCCTGAATGGAGTACTCATCAGCTTAGTATTTACATCAAAATTTGAAGTTTGATCTCGTTTTCTCGTTTTTTCTCGAAAACTGAGCATCCTATCTGGTAGGGTCCCTTGATGAAAATTGACGTTAAGATTACTTTAACGTCAATTTCCATCAAGGGACCCTACTATCTGGTAACAACAAGAGGATCTTTTTTGTACAAAATTAAATGACTTTTTATGTCATTTTATTGAATTTGGAAATATTCTTCGTTGCTCACTTTCAAGTATAATCATATCCCCCTAACAGCGCCACTGGTAGAGAAGAAGGAAATTTGTGTAACTCAAAAAATGCACCTCGATGCATAGAAGATAAGTACCAAATTTCAAAAAGATGTCTACAATATTATCTCAGTCATTATTAAAAAACTGATTTTTTCGCATAACTTTATCACCCGGTATATCGAAACTTAAGACTTTTAGGACAATCGGTAGTGGGAGGTTTTTTTCTTGAAATGAGTTGAAGAATCACCCCCTTGAATATTATTACCATATCATTAAGGAACACCCTGTATAAATAAACTACTGCATTACCGATATCTACCCTCTGGCCTTCAATATACTCTACAAAAAGTAGTTCACCTTGTCGCTCAAAGTTACCGCCACCTACTGAATAGAATTTCTAGCATCATTGCTCTCTTAAGGATGGTTCATTTAGTTAGTGAAAATGGTGTAAATAATCAATAAGGGCCATAGTAAAAAACACGTTAGGTACCTACTGGCACAGATTAACAAACCTTATTGGTAATCTGTGCTACTGGGCTACTGGTAGTGAACCACTACGATCCCTTCATTGCAATATTGCAATGTAAACAACTAAAGGGCAACGCGGTGATGCAGTCAGCTGAAATTTTGTGCAATTTTGTAATCAGAAGAGTTGCTAAGAACAAGATATTGAGATGTCTTCTCTTGAAACGAACAGGCCAAGCTTGTTTATTTACGACTTTTGTTATTAAATGTTATCCTGGGATCGTGGACCTTGGCAAGATTCCAAGATTAGCCGATTTCGGATGTCATCGTAGTCGAGGAGCCGGCTGCAAATTTCGACCGTCATCTGATAAGATGATTTATGTCTCAAGGGCATGTAAAAACATTGTATTTCATCGAACGACACCTGTGCCAATCACTATCCTGAGCAAAATGATTGAAAAATGGCACTTTCCTGTGGGTTAATTCGCACTTGATTTCGCGATTTGATAACGAGATGAGAATTTTGCCATCTACTAATTGAATAGTACCTAGATCTCAAAAACCTACCTGTGTCTCCCCTTAATCTGAGCCAAATCCACGGCACAGCCATGTATTTGCTGCCGTAATTCTGGACATGCTTCTGTCATGTGATTAACGAGTTGAAACAAAGTGCAAATGAAAGGGAATAATGTCCCCTTTGCGAATATCCAAACCTGCCGCGATTTAAACCGAGCTAAGTTAGTGGCAGAGCGTGATTATTTCCGAGAATATTTCGCCCCTCTCGAAAGATAATATCCGATGGACCAGTGTAGAACCTTTGAGTATTCACACTTGTGGAGTCGAAATTCGAATGCTGGTAGAGCAAGCACCACATGAGAGTAAGCGGTCAACGTTGTGCGCATGTGGAAGTCTCAAAGCAAAGTGAAAACTGTGTCGCTAGCCGCTTCAGTTACCTAAGCGCGACATCCAAGAGATGTCACAAGCGTCTAGCTAGACCAAGGTTGGTAGAACTGAGCTAGACCAGTGAATCTTCAAACATCGAGGTCAAGTCAAGTGACGTCACTCACAACACATGATATTTTTTACTTCTTTAGGAGCATTAGGCCTGTTCGTTTGTATTGCTAAACTGGCTAAAGTTGATCTTTTCCCCATAGTTGTCTCTGTTCATGCCATGATGTAAACAAAGAAAGTAATAGAAAAAAATCAAGTTTAGCAGGTTGAGCAAGCACAAACGAACAGGCCTATTAATACTTCCAAGAAACTGTTACTGATAAGAAGCTGGCAATGAAAACCTTGGCGTATTTTTTTAGTTGATTTTGAAATCAGCTTCTTTTCTGCCTAGTGGAAACCCGCCTTAAAAAAGCAACTTGTCAATTGCCTAGAACTGTTTGATAGTTCCGTGCCATAGTGACAATGATGACAGTCCGTCAAAATTATGTCACTCGTGTCAATCAACTAAATGATTATTTTTGTGATTTTGTCAATTTTGTTTTGTGTATTATTATTATTTATTGAAATGTCGTCGTATGTTATTGATACTCACATGTAACAAGTTCACCCTTTTATCAGTCCTTGATCTTTTCACTGTTCGGTGATAACTACGGTAGTGATAGTGATAGTATACAAAGTTTGTGTTATATCTATTATTAATTATTATAACAAGAATGAATATTTCTGAAAAAATGTATACAATTCAGCATGTCAGTCGAACTGAAAAGACGGAAAAAGAGTGTATTCATTCTGGCCAATTCATGGTATCTCATTTTGAGGCTGAAGAACAAGACGATGAAGACAATGTAGCAGTTCCAATACCAGAGACTACAGATAACAAAATCATTGTCCCACTAATATCAGTGAGACCCAGGAGCATACAAAACCAAATAGAAATTCAAAAGAAAGAGCAACAATTAGCTATTGATACAAGTTTGGCAAAATTATTTCAGTGTATGTCTTTGGCTTACAGGTGAGATTTTCATTCAAATATCAGTAAAAGTGATAACTTGTTTTTGTTAACAATTTTGGTCTCTATCTCAAAAGAAAGGTTGTTATGTAAATACCTAAATACCATAAAATAGATTGTTGTTCTTGTGTTTATTATCAATGAGTTGTTCATAAATTCCATGAGAAGGGATTTTGCAAAATTTACTCTGTACCATATAAGTAATAAGATATTATTTATTGTACAAGTGTTCAGAATGGTGCAGATGTCTCTTTTCTTAACCACTTCATAACAGTGCCATGTACAGAATCATTTTGAACAAATTATCCAGGTTTTATAATTGAATATGGAACAAATTTCAATAGCAAAAGTTGTTTACATTCAAGGGCGTAGATATGGGGGGGGGGGTAAAATAGGTAATGAAGTAATTACCCCCCCCTCCAGAACCATGATGGAAAAACTGAAAATCTAATCTGAATTCAAATCAGGGAAAAATAAGTTGAGTAAATTCAATGGCAACATGCCAGATACTGCAATCAATATCTGCTTGCATTTGTGTAAGCCAGACATACCCTCCAGATTTCATGTATATATTGCCAGTAAGTGTAGGCAAAGAAGACAAGTTTTTCTTCACTCAAAATGCTCAAAACTTGGCTATGATCAACAATGAGCAATGAGAGACTTGTTGAGTTAGCATTGATGCACATTCATAGATATATAAAGATATCTCCAGACTCTGTATATTCTACCTAAAAGGATTCTGGACTTTATTGTTTAGGTAGTTTATAATTTGGAAAAAATATTATTGAGATTGAAAATTTTTTTTGCTCTACCCCTCACCCCACAGAAAAAAAATATCTATGACCTTGTTTACATTGCCTTATAGGGATTGAAGTATCCTTATAGAAATATGTAATTGAACATTCTTGGTCCAGTCCCACTGTTATTGCATCAATTCATGTTGCTGGTGCTATTTTAGTAATGAATGGTGGATTTTCAATATGTCTTACATTATAATTTCAAAATTATATAAATAAACACTGATTTTTAACCAGCCAATCATTCCAATTTAGGTAAAATAGCCTGCATTATTCATTCCTGCATATTGTATGAATAGCACTTGAATCTTGGATTAAATACCACAATGAGAACATAATAATGTGTCACAAGTGATACATTTTCTTGAAATTTCAGTGATTTATAAAACTTTCTATACTGGGTGTCCCAGAGCTTTCAGGCCAGCAGATATCTGGATTATCTAACATATGGAAAAAATTAAAAAAATTGTGAAATATATGGGAGCAACAGCTCTCCAAGACAATATCTAGAAAAAAAAACAATGAAAAATTAGATAATAATGATGATGATGAATTAAATGGATCAGGTTAGAGAATCAAAAAAGACATACAACAAAAATATACAGGGTGAGTCATAATTGGACATAGGCTAAGGGATGATTATTTGGACCAAAATATTGTGATAGGACGGAATATGTCTTGATAACATATTGCTGTGGAAAAAGATACAGAGGGCATTGAAGCAGATTTTTTTTTTTCGTTTTTTGCTAGTAATTTCACTGTATATTTATCAATTGTTATGAAAATCGGCACAGAGGCATAATTTTGTACAGGGAATATCATTTCATATATTATTCCACAGTTTGTCACGTGTCACGTGAATGGTTTCTGATTTTTTTTCATCTCTTGGTGAGTTTCATTAGAAAATATGACGTAAACATCATTTCTATATAATATTGGTACACTTGTTTGAAACCGATATTTTCATCCATTCTCAAGAAAAACACAATTGAACAGTTCAAAGCTCGGTTCAAAGTCTGGAAAGGGGATATCAAATATTAATCATTTATGAAGAGTGTGCTTTGGACTGTCAGATAATTGTTGCTGGTGAATCACATTTCTTGTCAGTGAATGAATTTTAGTGCAAGTTTATAGTCAATCCTATTCTATTGAAACGTCCTGTATCTTTTTTCACAGCAGTATTTTATCAAGGCATATTTGACCCTATCACCATAATGTTGGTACAAACAATCAACTCTCAGCCTATGTCCCAATAGTTATGACTCTCCCTGTATAGGTATATGTTTATTATATAATTTTTTTGATCGGACGTAAAAGAATCTCTACTTTTTTCTTGGAACATCCTGCGTATCTGGAATGAATAGAGAAATAAGGTAGCTATTGAATTATTGATATTTTGGATGTTATAAATTCAACTATTCAACTTTTACTACTTCACTTTGAGCACTATGGACTTCTACATAATATGTTTACTTCCCTAGGTGAAGAATTTCAAAGGTTTGCCATTCTGTGGGTGACCTAGTTTTGGTATAGGTCGAGAGTTGGTCAAAATATTTCAACAAATCTCGGGGTTGAATACAAAATAGTGTGTTGACTGTGCATGTTAAGTTTGTCTGACTGGTATTGGATCTAAGAGCATCATTGTATCCTTGGGTGCTGAACCCCATATGAGGGAACAATATTTTGAAACGTCAAATCTGATGTTGTAAGAGATAACTTTTAGTGCAGAATGAAGCGGCGTTTTTCTCAAATGGCTTCCACAATGGAACATGAAAAAGTATTACTTGCTAATGTTGATTCCCAACATAGATATTGTGGACTTTGTAGGATTTATATTTGTAGGCTCATATCAGGTATGCTGAGTTCAGCTTTTTTTGAGAAAATACAGGCTTGAATTCCGGATATGTTCTTTTTGTTCATCAAGATTTTTCAAGTTGTCCATTTCAATAAGGTAAAATAACGAAGTTTATCATCAAATTTGATACTAATACTCATTGTGTGTTTAGGAAATTCATGTACTTAGTGGCAAGAAATGTATGAATAAGATTCAGATAGGCTTGTATTCTCTAACATGTGTATTATTTAATTCAATCAAATATAATGATAAGAAGTTTCAAATGGTTAAGTAATGTTTAACATTATGTATTGCACCACTTCTGGAGCAACATTGAATTTGAGATAACTGATAATTTCCACATTAAATCTTTTTTTTTGTTCATCAATAATATCGGCATAATATATATCCTGTTTTTTGTTCTATCTCAGAATGAACGTGTACACCTTAGCAGAACTTTCAACTCAAACCATGTTTATAATGATCCTTTTTTACATAAATAATGATTGACGACATAATTCGATCGAAAAATTAACTGGAATGTTTTTTTTTGGACATCTATAATAGTACCTTCTGAAAACGGACCCTCTTATGACGTAGAAACCTCATCTCGCCATAGTTGAATGAAACTACCAAACGCCCGACGGAGACTGAGGCAACTGATGTATTAATTCTTTCATCTGTGATCTCGCGCTAATTCACTCTGTCAGAAATCATGTTTCATTCATCTCTGTCTGAAATAGTCTTGTTTCAGTATTAGGGTTTTAACGTCACATCATCGCCTCGTTTTCAGAGGTCCGAAAAATCGGGGATTTCAATAATTTTTTATAAAACGTAGGGAGCTGACAGCAATAAACGGTTCGCGGTGGTGAGCTAGTTTGGGTGAGTTCTATCGAGTTATGAAATGAACATTTTTTGTGATATAAGCCCATTGGATGGTATTTCATTCAGGAGATTTATTGTTCAGAAAAAAAAAGTTATTATTCCATGTGGTAGCATACCATCCTATTTTCAGAACATTGTTGGGTGGTGACCTTTACCTTGAGGAATGTATTTTTTTCTACAAACGTCAAAAAATGACAAGGTACAAATTGCGAAGTGACACTTTTCTTCAGTTTCCTACGTTACCATGATAGCTTGCACAAAACAATGCGCGAAGTACTTACTTCGCGCATTGTTATGTAAAATATATGAGATATTTATATTTATATTTCAACATTATGGTCCTCAATCGAGCAAACATCCACGAATTCATTTATTTCTGAATGTTCAACAGTAACTTTGTTTTATCTCTTGGATTTTTTATATCAAGCTAAGCATATTTTTACTTTAGAACTATATTTTCTGACGTTTGTAGAAAAAATGTTGTTTGCAACTCCAGCGCGAAATACTTTGGTCATCTGGACTATTTTTTAACGAGGCCTAGCCGAATCGTATCTCGATGATCAAAGTAGCATTTCGCGCTCTATAGATACAAAAATAACTATTTTGAGCTGATGTGCTGAGTTAGGTAGGTTTCAAGACAATTTAGATACATTGCTCTGCTCCATTCAATGATCCAATTTGCTATAAATGTACCATAAGGCATTCAAATTTCAAATTGAAATTCCCTTGAAATAGAATTTTCAATGAAAAAAATTACTTCTGCCATATTGGCAGTGCAAAGATAATACGCTTGCGGCGAGCCTCACTGACATAAACTCTCGTATAAACTATTATCTTACTCTAGATCGCTAATGCCATAAGAGAGAAGCTTTACCAATAACGAGATCTAAATGGAGATCATCATTCATTCGCATTTAGGGTTGCCGGAAATATGATCGAAGTCATTAGATCGAACTTCATTTGATCGAACATCATTCGATCGAAAATCAATTGATCGAAAAATCAATTGATCGAAAAATCAATTGATCGAAATACCAATTAACCGAAATATCAATTGATCGAACTACATTTTGATCGAATATAATCATTTGCTTATAATATTCAACTATACTTACCGATTCGTCTGAAACCCTTATTGATATGAAGGATTTTATTATGAGAAGCTGTGAGGAGTATCAAGTATAAGTATAGTGATCAAAATAATATATCAGAATTTATGTCACATTCGGCCCATCACCTTGCCCCCCATGTGGACGCCCCTGTTTGGTACATCGCTTGCCTAATAGTTCAGGTATTCCCACTAATTACGGAAGGATGGTTCATTTAGGTCGAGTCCGGTTAGGTTGTTCAGAAACAGTAGTCTCTTTTGTTCTCTCGAGTAAGTTTTCGAAATATATATACTATCTAGGAAGAAGGTTCATTTAGGCCGAGTCAGGTTAGATTGTTCAAGAAAAGAAGTCTCCTTTTTATGCTTATGCAGGAAGGAT